ATACAGTCACACAATTTTGTAGCTTGGAAATTTAATGATGCTTCCCTTATAGCAATAGCATTTAGACTTATATACCACTTCCCAATACTTTACAGCCCTCTCTAAGCGGTTTACAGAGTCAGCATATTGCCCCCCAACCATCTAGGTCCTCATTTTACCAACCTTGGAAGGATGGGAGGCTGAGCCAACCTTGAGCTGGTCAGGATCAAACTCCTGGCAGTGGGCAGAGTTTGCCTGCAATATGCTGCATTCTAATCACTGTACCATCAGGACTCTCCAATCACAACTCTCTCAATTTCTCTGCTAATAAAAAACCTCTAAGCAAAAAAGGCAACTATTTAGATTATAAATCCACACATAAATTTAAACTTAAAAAACCCTCCTTTCATTCTTCTGCTCTTCAGTCACACACAAATACACATCCAGAAAATATACAATTAAGAATGTACTGTGGTTAGATGGTATTTGCAGCCATAATTGCATCAACACAGTGGTCATCTGTGCAACTGGATCACGGTTATGAGGACATAGTCGATTACGGTCTGCAACTTCCACGGCCAGTTTCCAGTAAGCAACGTGAAAAGGGAAGTCAGTAGGAAGTTGCAAATGGCAAGCATGTGACTCCAGGACTCTGCAACCAAGTTGGATTTGCCTGATGGGAGCATCTGGATCTGTTGGATGTGCCATTGTAAGTCATTGTCTTAGCCACTGAGCCACTGCATCCCTCTGGAGAGCAGACAGACTTTCTTAATTCTGAATTCCTGGATCTTGTTAGTCATCTGACCACGTCGATCTCTGACATCATTTCTTTGAATTCCTGTCACCCAAAGATCATCTTTCTCTCTCTCTTTCCACCATATTGATCAAGATTGAGAAATGAAAGTTGTGGGTTGCAAAACATTTGCATACTAGACCTTTAGATTGTAATTATATCTCAACCTTTGAAACAATTGCAAAAGATTGTGCACAACTTCTTATGAAATTTATTTAACCAGCAGTATCAAGATCTCTTTCCCCCCTTCATCTTTGGTTGCTAACAATATAAACAAATGCAGGGAGTTAATATTTAGCTTTGCTTAGTATTTATCTTAGCAAGCAGAGTACAGCACTTGGATTCATTCCGAGGTTTTCCAAACCTGCAGTCATGTTTCCAGTTCTGTTTAGCTTATGCTTGGTTGGCATAACCCATGTTGCTCTTGCGAATAAAGGTAAGTGTTTTTGCATTTTGCTTTAACAAGATGGAAATATTATATTTCTTGGAAACTGATCAGTATATTGTGGCATGAGATTTTTGTAGATCTCCACCCACCCACACCTATTTTCTTAAATGGTGTCTATGCATGTTAAGGGACGTGGTGGCTCAGTGACTAAGACACTGAACTTGTTAATCAGAAAGGTCGGCAGTTCGGTGGTTCGAATCCCTAGCGTGTAACAGAGTGAGCTCCCGTTACTTGTCAAAGCTTCTGCCAACCTGGCAGTTCGAAAGCATATAAAAATGCAAGTAGAAAAATAGGAACCACAATTGGTGGGAAGATAACTGCGCTCCATGTCCCTTCGGCATTTAGTCATGCTGGCCACATGAGCATGCAGATGTGTTTGGACAGTGCTGGCTCTTCAGCTTTGAAATGGAGATGAGCACTGTCCCCTAGAGTCAGGAACGACTAGCACATATGTGCAAGTGGAACCTTTACCTTTACCTATGCTTGTTAATTTGCATGTAAGTACGCGCCTTTTATGAAATCAAAAGTGTTGACCATATCCAGAGTCCTATTCACAAATTCTGTTGCAGTCAGTAGAAACTTGCCTCCTGAATATTTCCAAAACGTGAGAAATGGGATTTTCATCTTTGTAAATTGCTCCTACAAATCCACCCCCAGGGATGATATCACACTAAACAACACTAAAATGTTACTAGGAATTATCTGATTGACTGAAAGCTAAACTAAGTGGCATATCAATGCAGCTCCTTCTTTTTATATTGTTTCCCAGATAGGGAATGTGGCACAGAACTGTCTCCTTTTCCCTTTTCTCACTGGGGATGTCTCCAAATAGTCTCCTTCCCTAGTAAGTCAGGAGCTATTTTTTTGCTGGGGAACAGAGTGAGACAATTTTTATCCCCATTCTGTATCTCACGAGTCTTTTTTTCTTCAATACAAAATATAGGCACAGTATTTTGAACACAGGCAAGTATTTGTGTTTCTTTCACATCTCTAGTTTAACTCTAAGACTTAGTTTAGGACCTGTTTTAACATTAAACGAAATCTTCAAAATGGGTTAACAGGTTAAATAAAATAAAGGAGAATACTTAAAGCTCAGTTTTGAAATGTGGGGGGTCCTTGGTGCTTTCTCAGCTTTGTTGTTTTCTTGCAGACTTTCATTACCCAAAGTAGGTAACATCACCAATGCTAATCAGACTAGCACTGATGTTATTACCTAGTTTAGGTAATGGTTAAATTTACAGATTAAATTTAATCTAAGTTTTAATTTTTTTATTAACTGTTTTACTTGCTTTTTTAAAGTAAAAATATCATCTCCCTTACCAGAGTAGAAAGGGAAGTTGTCAGCTGAAGAAATAACAACATAAAATATACCGCAAGGATACTTATGATTAATGCTACATTATATTACCATTACATATCTCAAAGATAGAAATATTCTGGCTGATAGCTCTCCTGTTATTAATAAGCAAGGCTGCAATTGCTTGCAATTTTACAGTGAATTTTCAGCTAGGGACTTTGTGAATTGTAGTGTAGGATTTAATTACCAAGCCAAGTTGTTTCATCTAAATTTGTGAACTCATGCTTCATGCGCAGCAGGAATGAAGGATCTCAGCAAGCGGGAGTCGTGTGAAAGTATTCAGAAGGCAAACATTGTGGTTAAGGTGAAATGCATAAGTGGAAAGATGTATAAAACATGTATAAAACATCATTGTTCAGGACCAGGATCATCTCTTCCTCCACTCTGTGTCTGTGTGTGTGTGTGTGTGTGTGTGTGTGTGTGTGTGTGTGTGTGCATACATTCCATTTGTTTAATATTGATTTTGCTTTTTTTATTATTATGTTTGGTTGGCTTTGCTGCTTTTTCCTGGTTCTCCTTCCAATGGGAGGGTGGGGGAAGAGATCCTTGTCCTGCACAATTGTGTTTTATACATCTTTCCACTTATGCATTTCACCTTAACCACAATGTTTGCCTTCTGAATACTTTCACATGGCTCCCCCCCTCTATATATAGAGAGAGTGCAAAATGAGATTGTGTGTGTGTGTGTGTGTGTGTGTGTGTGTGTGTGTGTGTATCAAAATGCGCAATAATAAAAAGAAATAGAAAGGAGCTTCCATTCTTCTTTGCAAAATATATAATTATACAGTTATCCCTTATTCTTTTTTTAGATTAAGTTTTTTATTTTTCCATTTTCATAACATATAATCACATGTATACTATTATATAGCCAACATCATATTGTATTATTAAATGTTTACATCAATTCACCTTACCATCAGCTCCCAAAAACAATTATTGGTTCTTTTGCTCTCCATACACCATAATTGTACCTTATCCATCACTTTCTTCTCTTTGTTGAGGCATAATCTCCTATCTCAATTTTCCTTATGCCACTGTCAACCTTCTAAACATCTTTTGTCTGCTTTTTATTCCCTTTTGTTGGGACACATCCCCTTTTACCATTCTCCTTATACCACTGCCAAGCCCAATGGAGTTTTTTATCTGCTTTTTATTTCCCACCATTTCTACCCTTCATTATCGTTCCCCCATTCTTCTTTCTTCTTTTCTTTAAATCCCTGCTTCTCTGGGTTCAGAATTTTATTTAGGCTTGATTTTAATGATTTATGCATATTTTTTTATAATTTTATGTACTTTAAATTCCCAGCTTTCCATAATGTCTAGTTCCAAAGTTACAATTAGCAGGGACATGCAGTCAGGGGAGGCAGAGCCTCACCACTATCATCATGAAAAGAAAANCCACCTCCCACAGTCGTCGCAGAAGGATACCATGGTCGATTTAAGGTTCGACTAGGGCTATAATACTTGGCTTGCAAAATTTAAAATGACCATGAGGTGGTAACAAAAAGTGACAAGCTTTGGCTGCCATCTAAACCGTAGGGCATGGGTAGTCTTTGACTTAGAAACACAATTGAGGCCAACATTCCCATTGCTGAGCAAGACAGTTGAAAAAAGAATTTTGCTCAATTTTACCAGCTTTCTTGCCACAATTGTTTACGTCAGCGGTGTCAAACTCGCGGCCCACAGGCCCACTTGTTGGAAGATAGCTGGGAAAGTTCCAAATGATAACAACATGATCCAAGTCAGTGCAACATGAAATACATCCAGTTGCCAAGCATCCAAATTTTGATAACGTGATCATGGAGTGAAATAAGTCATGTCACTTTTTTCAGTGCTGTTGTGATTTCAAATGGTCACTAAACAACTGGTTTTAAGTTGAGGACTACCTGTAATGGTCATTCAATTATTTTGTAGCCCAAGTGTGGTAACCTTAGCTTAGCACAATATTCAAATCTGCTTTGTGCATTTTTCAGTTCTCTTCCAGGTTTATTCCTGAACAGCTACATATGTAAATCTTATTCATATAATCAATGAGAACCATTCGATGGATTTCATTATGTAAAATAAATAACACCAAAATACAACTTGGAATAGGGAATTGTAATAGTTTGAGGAAACCTCAGCTCAGAGATTTGGTTTACATAGTCTTTACTCTAGAAACTCTTTAAAAACTACATTGTATGTTGTTCAGTATTTTCTTAATAACAGATCACAATTCCACTGACCACACATTTAAGTTTAATTCCCAGTTTGGTGATGTTAGCAAACAAACTACTTGCAGAAATCGGCTGCCAACATTTTATCAATTTAATAAGCACTCTTAAGATGCAATTATAGGAATTCCATAGGGCAAAAGTTTAAGTGCGATTTATAGCATATTAGGGAGGGGCATTGTGTTAAACAGATTTACTTTGTTTTTCTAGCTGTGATTTGCCCTCCACCTCCAGTTTCTGAATTTGGAGCTCTCTCGTATCATAGAATTGAGTCTGGAGAGGACTTTTTTTTCCAAGAGACAATCCGATTTAGCTGTCTGTTACCTTTGGCACTGTTTGGAAGTGAAACAGCTACCTGCCAGGCTGATGGAAGCTGGACTGCATTACCTGAATGCAAATGTAAGTCCTATAATATAGTATTGGTAGCTGGGAATTTTGGGGTTGTATTGGCAACATATCTTGAGAGAGCCACACCAGAGAAAGCTGGCTTAAAGTAAGATTAGGTAAATTGCCTCTGAATGGTCTCTCAGCCATCACCTAGTAGGAATTCTTTGATTAGGGCTCAATCAACTTTGGAATTAGGACATAGAGGACTGTTCTACAGGTAATCTTCAGCTACAGTATTTGCCTCCAGTACATAAAGCAGCTGGACATAACTCTCATGAAGAAACTGCTTCTCAAAATTTCAACTCTCTCCTCCGCTCTGGTCAAAGTGATGGACAGCTGTCCTGTCTGGACTCCCTGCTTCTTTCTCCTTGCTTGGGCCATCAGCAGAACACTTTGGATACCCTATAAGAAAATTTGGTTGAAGTTTTGCTCTCAGCAAGATAGGAGTGTGCCGAGGATGACATCCTCTGTTCTTGCTGTCCAAAACAGTACATGTTCCTCACATTGGGACAAGCAGGAAATATAGATTAGCCCAAAATGTGAGTCCTGGATTTCCTGTTTTCTCTTTTCTCCCCTTAACAGCTGTAGAGTGTCCGCCTCCAGAACCAATAGAACATGGATTCATAAACTTTGGTCTTCGTGGTATTTTTCATTATCAAAATACTGTGCATTATGGTTGTTATGCACCTTACACTATGGATGAAGCTTCAGAATCAAGGTGTGAGAAAACAGGAACTTGGTCAAATAAACCAACTTGCAAAGGTAAAACAGCATGTATTGTATTTGTTCAAAATAGCTTTGTTTTTTTTAAAAAGTATCTTAACAATGTAATGAACGTTCATAATGGTTAAGCTAGTTTATTTAGGAATCCATCATATCAGAATTCACAAATGAAGAGGAACACAGGATGTTTACTAAATCTACAAATGACACAAAATGGGAAGTGTAGTGAATACCTTAGAAAACAGAAATAAATTTCACATGATCTTGATAAGTAGAAAAACTCAGGTGAAAGTTACATAATTGAATATAGCAGAGATAAGTAAAAAACTTCACTTAGGAAGGAAAATCAAACGCATAGAAATAAATACAGGAGTATCTGACTTGGTAATCATTTTTATTTTAATAGATTTTGGAGCAGCGTTGACTGTATATTGAATATGAGTTAGCAGAATGATAAGGCTAGAAAATCAATTTTTAAATGCATTTATTGCAAGTAATTTTTAGATACTTTAGTCATTTGATTTGGCTTCATTCTACTGTGGTCAGACTTAAGCACTGTTTCTGAGCATCACATTTAGGATGGATACAGAACAAGTTCAAAGAAGTAAAGGAGTCACATCAAAGGACTAGAAAATTAAATTGGATAGAGAGAGAATGAAAGAACTGGGCATGCTCAGCCTTCAGAAGACTAGGGCTACTTAAAGGATGTCACATAGAAAAAGTCAAACTTGTTCCATTTTTTTAATTGAGTGCAGAATATGCAATAGTAGATTTAAGGCTATAGGAAGCTTTAAAAGTTAAGAAGTTTCTTTCTGATAATATAAAAAATGTTTGGTTATTTACTATTTATTTACCATCAGAATCTGGTAGCTTGTAGACCCCATCAGCAGATGAGCACTGACCGGCAGGGACTAGAAACTGGGCTTTTTCTGCTGTAGCCCCTGCCTTGGGGAATATTTTCCCCTCAGAATCAGAATGACCCCAACCCAGTGGGCTTTTCAGTTTTAAAAGCTTGACTATATACAGTAACTGGACCTAGGGCAGGGGACATGCAAAGGGCCCTCTTATTTGGCCTTACTATTAGCTGATTAATCACCAGGGCTGTAATAATTTACTTTATGGATGGTGTTTTTTTTACTGTTTTAATGCTTTTCAAATTATTTTGTTTTATAATTTTAGCATTGTAAGCTGCCCAGTGTCACTTAGTTGAGATGGGCAGCTATAGAAATTGAATGAATGAATGCCAGAAGGAATGAAAGCACAATACAAAAAAAAAAATTCAAGTCGTTTACAGAGAACATCATAATAATCAAACAGCACTCATCAAATTGAGGCAATGTTGGCTTTCAAAGGCTGTGGAAAATCACTCCATTTTTACACTCTTTCAAAATGATGCCTAAGTTATCACTGGCTACCTCAAGAAGAATGCTAGTCCATAGGATGAGAACCCCAGTTGAGATATTGCCAACTCTGGGTGCCTCCATCTGTCTCACTTCCCTGGAGTGGGACCCACTACCATTCTCTTCCAAGAAACTGTACCAGATGGGCTAGTTTTACCTGGAGGTGCTGATCTTGGAAATACCTCAGAGCTAAAACCAGTTAGAGCTTAAAATACTGTAATAATAACCAAAATCAACCTTTGAACAGCAGTGTCTACAGTACTGGTTTAATTTGGGTGTGATGATCTTACCTATTAGCACCTAGGCTGCCATCTTCTGCATAAGCTGGAACTTCTAAACAGTCTTCAAATGTAGCCAAGGTAGCTGTGAGAAATGTGTTCCCATCTTCTTTAAGTATAGCAACTGCCCCCCCCCTCCATTTGTCTGTCATTTTAAAGTATGAATCTTTCAGGTATAACATGTAAAGGTATACTTATCATATATGACTAGTTGCTTTGGAACACATACAATATTTTTTAAAAAGGGTGATACAGAAGATATATAAAGAAGATTTTTAAATAGAGATTGCTGTGTAAATACACAATAAAGTTGAATAGCCTGCCTTTGACAACATTTACTTAATTTAGAAAATCACCAGTTAAATAAAGTACTCAGGCATTTCATATCCCACGGTGCTTCTATGATTGTTGACCAATGATGTTTTTAAACTATGCACTTTATGTTTCTTCTTCCTCTTCCGGTAGCACCATGTAACATACCAGTGGGAAAAGCAACAGTGTTATACAATGGGCAGAAAATAACGGTGAAAAAACTTAAGCATATACAACATGCTGAAACCATCTGGTATTTCTGTAAAAGTAAGACAGAGAAGTGCAGTTATAAAACACCAACCCAATGCATAGATGGTCAACTTTCAGTTCCTGACTGTTTTGAAGGTATGAACATGTTCTTTTTTCATTATTATGGGAACAGAAGACATAACTTTTGTCTACATTAATTTGGTTGGCATTAGGGAAACATAAAATTACTGGAAACATCCAGAGTTTCCAAGAATGGAATGCCTAAAAGGAGGTTGAAAATTAAATTTAATCTATCCCTCCATCCATCTATCCCTCCATCGATCCATGCCCATATCCCTCAGAGATTACACGAGATTTATGCCTAAACATCTTTGAAGCTGCTGAGTATGTAAGATATATTTGTCTGAATTTTGACCACTTAATCTGTGGATGTGAGGAGCTTCCCACCCCTTCCACAGTAGTTGTGATGTTACAAGAACATCATTTCCAAACGTTGGTGTGCTTGCTTCCTATTGCACAAATATAGTAAGAATAAAGTTTTCCTGCATTGGAGGGGAAAAGGTATGGGAAATTAATATAGCTGTTACAGTAATCATACAATTTCTAGATTGATTTCATAAATACGGGATGGCTCCCCCCTTCTCCCCCAATCAGATATTGAAGAAGCAACCACGTAATCAGAGCTTTCCTAGAGCTAGATTGTGTGTTTACTAAATAAGGAACTTGACTATATTAATGTGTAACTTATTTTATACAGAATACAACTGGATTGCATCCTTGTTCAAAACAGATCCAGCAGACATGACTCCATGTACAAACTAACTGAAGATATCATCTCCCTGTCTGCCATCATATCGAGAAAGAAATACTTATAAATGGAGAATACCTTCAAGATCACATATTATTTTTTCCAAATACATGTACCAGCATATGTAGTTTACTTTGATGTGATTCTTTTAATATTTTGCTTTGCAAATTAACCTGATGAAACTACTAGACTGTATTGTACTACGATGCATAAAACACCCGGATACTTTTCTAGCTTTGATTTAATAAAACACGTATAAACCTCGACTATGAAAGTTTCAAGGTACTTTATAAAAATATATTTCCAATCAATAATACTTCAAAGATTGTTAACTGACAACACTGTTAACCTCTGTATGTCTGATGAAACGTTCCAGGGTCTTGGGTACCTACCAAGGTCAATTCCTCAATTCATAATTTCAGGAAAAACTGGGACTTTCAAGAAAAGATACTTTCTTGTATTGATCTTAACAAGCAGTTAGGACAGCAGGGAGGCGGGACTCACATTGCAACGTTATGACGTGCGATCTTGAAGCTCCAAGATCGCCGTCGATATTTCTGTTGCTGGATGGTCCTTTTGGACCTAAACCATCCCATAGAGAGGGGGATAGAGAAGGGCACATCCTGCTGATCCTAGGGACATCCCAAAGTCCCTGGTAGATCCAGGAGAAGCCCTTTTTTCTGGCGATAGAGAAACATCCATTAAAGCTGCTGAAGGTTGAGACAGCTCCAGAAACGGAAAGCAAGCTGGAGAGAAAGTGTGTCAAATTAGTGAGATAATTTTTATTATTAGATGAGAGAACACCCCAAAAGATTAAAAGTAAAGTTAAAATTGAAGACAGAAGAGGTTAAGCGGTGAGATTAAGCCTGTGTCAAACTTAGTGTGTTATTCATTAGATAATCTTGTGCAAAGTAAGACATTTCAAGGACTCTGAACTTGTTTATTGAAAATGATGGTGGGATGAGCACGGATTGTTTATACAGGTGCTCCTCTGGGTACTATCAATAGTTGGACTGGAGTGAAAAGCTTGGAGTTGAAAGATTGCAGTTAACTTTGTTTTGGAAAAGAGCCTTGGATTCTATATAATGGCAGTGATTACTATTTGAAGGAAAAGATCAATACAGATGATGTTGCAGCAGGAAAAAGAAAACGAAGTGACATTGCAGATGATTATGCAAGAAATTCAAAAAATACAAGAAAGAACAGAGAACATTAAAAAGAGAATAAAAAGATAAGAAAATTGGAGATATTGACAGCAGATTGAGCGTGGCTGGAAAAGACAAGAGTGGAATATTGGAATGGGAGATCAACAGACTAGAATTCCAGAGTATAGAAGAAGAAAAGGGAGAAAATTTGGCAAAAGCTATGATAGAAATGCTGGCAGTAGCATTGGTGATAACCAAAGGGAAGATGATGGAAGGAACAGATGAGGGGTTTCGAGCCTTTACAAGATATGCNTAGCAAAGGAAAAAAACAAATGCTGTCGCTTTAAATTGGAATTGAGCATGCCTGGCTGTGGAATTCTGGGAGTTGAAGTCCACAAGTCTAAAAAAATTGTTGCCTCACCAGCCATAAACCTCACCGCACGTCACTGACAGTTATACACTTCTTCTTTCAGAGTTCTGGTCCACCTTAAATTTATCTACTTCAGCTGCTTTGGGGAAGAGCGACAGGAACCATTTTGGTCTTTTGTTTTTCCTTAAATGTCCAGTTCCAAAATTGCAATTAGTTATGCAGATCTTATTTCGAGATTCTGGTCCACCTTAAATTTAGCTAATTCAGTTTAAAACGGAAGAGGAGCTGGGGCCATCTTGATCTCTTTGCCTCCTGCTTTTTCAAATTCTGATTTATGGCAGTTGGTTAATTAAAAGTAGTGCTTTTTTCTTGATTTTTCTCCCTAATTGGAGTTGCTTAAGATATATTAGTTAGAAGAAGTTCAGACGAAATCTCTCGGAATGTTTGGTTTCTATTTCAAATCCAAAATCAAATATAGGGTTTATATTTGAGTGGGTTTGTCACTTCTCTGCTTTCTCCCTTTCTGTCCGAATTTATTTCAAACAAATAGCTTTTGGGAGGGGAGGGCTGGTGTTTCATTTTCCCTTTCTTTCTTTCCTTTTGCCAAAATCCAGATCTGTCTATTAATATTATTTGTACTCTTAAGATTCTTTGCCTTTTCCAAGTTTTGATTTATGACTGTGGGTTAAATGAACCTTCTTACCAGTCTTTCATCTTGTCTCCTGTACGCTCCTGTTCAGTATTTTGGCTGGAAGCTGGCTTCTGTGCAGCCATGCTGCCGCCCCTACTCCAATTCACAGGGCAAATGGCAAATCTCCAATCTGCGAGGGACCTGTTGCCTCCTTCTGGGTCTGATGAGATGCTGCACCTTCTTCGCCTCCCCTCCAGGGGGCTTCTGATCCAAAAAGGATCTTGGAATAGGTTTGTCAGACAGGGTTCTTGTGAGGCTCTTGAGAGCTTACCCTCCCCCCCGCCCCATTCAGCTGAAGAGCTTCCGGTCAAATCCAGTTATCTCTTATTCTGCAGCCACAAAAAGGCTCTCTTTTTTCTACTATACTATTATTGTAAATCAAAAGTTCATTTTTTTAATATTTCAAGCAAAAGTCTATAATGGGTTTCCAATTGGCAATACATTTAGATGTCTTTTCTCTAATCAAGGAAGTCAGTCTAGCCATTTCTCCAGGTTTCATCATTCTCACCAATCATTCCTTCATTGTGGATAATGCTGAATGTTTTTTTTTTTCATTTTTGAGCCTATCATAAGCTTGTTAGTTACCATATTAAAAAAATATCCGGGATTCTTTTCCAAATGTTATCAATCAGTCCTACTAATTGATAGGAAAAGCTCTGGTTTTAATTGCATATTAATCGTTAATATCTTCTGAATCAATGTTCATTCTTGTTTGTAATACAAATTTCCATCTAGGTAGGTCAATATTAGAAAAGAGAGAGAGAGAGAGAGAGAGAGAGAGAGAGAGAGAGAGAGAGAGACAGACGGACAGACAGAGATAGAGAGACAGAGACAGAGAGAAACAGAGCTAGACAGAGAGAGAGAACGTTTTCATAAGATCTGAAAAGAATTCCTTAATTTTTATGCCACTGTTATATCTACTATATAGATTATATCCCAGCAATTAAACTTAATCTAGATCAGTGTTTTTCAACCTTTTTTGTGCAAAGGCACACTTTTTTCATGAAAAAA